TGAGGGGTGGGCTGGTAGGGGTGGGACGGGAGGTGGGGGTTTGCTTTGCTCATCGAGGGTGGGGGAGGTGGGGTTTTTTTTTTCCGTCGCTGAAAAAATAAAACAGTCCGCTGTCCAGCAGAGGCTGCTTAGACTCTATCCCTCCTTCCCCCCCCGCCAGCTCACTCCACATGGACCTCTGTTTCAGGCCTCTGCAAACACAGCTCCGTCGGGAGGAAGGCTCCCTGGCCCAGGGCCGTGGCGTAAGTCCTACTGTGCACGTGGGTGAAAGTTGGGGGCACAAACCCCCCTCCTCCAACGTAGCCCCCTCTTTGGTGCTGAGGCATGGTATGGTAATCCTCCAAATTATCGTACTGGGACACCACAGTCATAGTGCTTTGGCGTTTCCCAAGGGTTTGGTAGGGGTAGAGGAGGGCAGAGTCCCGCTCCATGGTTTCGGGATGCTGCATTCGGAGGCTGTGGCTGCGTTCGGGCTTGGGCGGGGGTGCCATGGGCGAGGCGGCGTGTTCCTCTTCTTTGTAGCAGTCTCTGGAGTGTTTCTCCATGGACGTGGTCGGTCTGGCTCGAGACCTCTCCAAATCTGGCCTGTCCTCTGCCAACCTCACCTCCTTGTGGTTCAGTCTCAGGGTCTCCTGGTTTGCTGGGATGTACTTCCCACCTGGGTGCTGGTAAGGGATGGGCTCAGAGGGCTCTGGGCCACCTTTAGGCCTGTAGTCGGGATAAGGGGGCCCATTTTTGGATTCGGAAGGCTGCCTGTGGCTGGCTTCCTGCGGCCAGTGCGTCCTGTGTTCGTTGGCGCTGCAGCCCGGCTCGTGCAGCTTTCTGTTCCGGATGCTGCTCTGCTTCTGGGGAAGGGACGGCTTCTCCGACTGCCCGTTCCCGTAGGCCCCGTGGTAGTGGGCTCTGTCCAGCTCCGGCTCAGGGTGCTGCATGTAGTAACGTTCGTCCCCCTCAGGCGTTGCCGCTTTGGCCGGGTACCTCCCCTCCTTCCCTTCCGCCACGCTGAGGAGACCAGTTTTCCCAGGATCCGATTTGCTGCGCAAGTGAATCGCATCCAGTCCTCCCAGTTCTTCCTGCAGCACCGGGGCCACGTTATCGTACTGGGACATCACCGGCCCTTTCACCTTCTGGCGCGTGCGGCTCTCCCGACGAATAGACTGCATGCGGTACTTCTCCATGTCCTCCAGGTCCCACGACATGTACATGTGCTTGACATCCGGAGCGGGAGGCACGTCTCTGCTGATGAAGCTGTGCTCTTTGCCTGCCAGGTGACCGATGAGGCCGCCCCGAGGGTAAGCAGACAGGCTGGGGTAGCGGTACAGGCCTTTGCTCTGCAGCCGGGAAGCGTAGGAAGCAAAGTCTCGGCTGGGCAGGGGGTGGAAAGGCCTGACACGCACGGTGCTGTAGGGATCCAGGTCGTAAAAGCTGCCCTCGGCAGTGGTGTAGTACGAGGACCCAGAAGAGCTGGAGTAAGGACTGTAGCGGTAATGTACCCGCCCGTTCTCAAAGTAAGGCTGCAGCTGGGTGACGTGGTAGTCGGAGTGGGGCTGGTACGGCTTGTACTGGTAGAGGGGCCGCGGGCAGTACACGGGCTCGTCGTCCGGAGGTACTTCGGTCCGTGAAATGGGGACGGAGCGGATAGCGGAGGCAGCAGGGCTGGGGACGTGCAGCGACTGAACCCTTCGGATAGTGGGGTACGGCGGCGCCTCCTCGGCATAGCCGGCGTTACGCAAGCCCGTGGGGCTCACAGAGGCCACGAACTCCGTCCGGCTGCGGGGCTTGGAGTGGAGAGCCGAGGTGCTCTTCCCTTGGTTCGTGTAGGTGCTGTAGCGG